TCTAGTGTCTCTTATTTATGTTTTCTAGATCGGTTGTAGCCGACGCCGTACCCAATCGTCGTTTTATTTAGTCACTAATTACGCTTCCTTGTTTCTTGCTCTTCGATGTTGTTCAAATCTCTAAACGTATCAGCAAACTGTAATTGTCATTGTTGAAATGACGTTGAAACGTATTATCAAACTCTGCAAATGTCTCCATAAATTTTTCCAAATTGAGCTAAATAATAGTATAATACCATAGCATAATCTCCTACTAACAAGAAGAAGGGGACAAGGGTCTGATTCATGGTCAGCTCCATATCTCAAAAGTAAATGCAAGTGAACCTAACAAACAAATAACTAAGGTTTTACAATGCAATTGCTTTGTTTACTCTTAACCAGATGACTCGGGTATCTATGTGAACGTGATTTTGTGAATGATGACTAATTAACAATGAAAGAAAAAGAAAAATCCATTAAACTCAAGGTTTTGCTATGCAATTGCTCTGTTTACTTTTAACCAGATGATTTGGGTATCCACATGAAGCTATTGAGTTAGTAAGAGTAATGAACTTCATGTTGTAAGAAACTAGAGTATGTAGTGGAAGAAGACAAATTAATTTCATTATTGATGTTGATGAACAAATTATTGTATTCACAAAATTTTGTCGTTTTAGTTTAAATGTTTGTGGATACCGTATAATAGATAAGATTGTTTTGAACATTTATAAAACTTAATGACCATGAATAATTTTTTGTTTCAGATTAGTGTATATATTATTTACAAACCACAATTTATTTGATGAAATAGGTTTTCAATATGACTAAGCACAAGTAAATATCTATTAACAATATTGTAATTGAGCATCCACTTATCAATGAATAAATGTTCATATACAGATGGATAGTATATAAGATAATAAATCATATAAAATATATCAATATGCATCTTAAAATATAAAGAAAATAAAATCATAACTTATTATATATAAATAAATATATAAATTTTTAATAATAACCACCCAAAATAACAATAACAAAAAAAACAAAAAGAAAAAAGAGGACTAAAGCTTAGGGGAGAGAAAGAAAGAGAGGATGAGAGAATTTAATTTTAGCCACCGGATCTCCTCATCATCTCTTCGTTCAGCTATCTACACTACATAACTAAGTTGGGGGTAAAAACGTCATAACAAGTTTCACGCTCTTTGTAAACAGTGAACAAAAGTATAGCACAAGTAAAAAGTGGGTGTAAGCGCTAACAATCTCCACAAAAGTGGGTGTAAGTCCTATTGTCAATAATATGAGAGTTAGACAGAAAGTACACCTATAGCTGAAAGTATGTTTTTTGGCAAACTTATGTCCACAAAGTAGGTGTAGGTGTAAATAACTCTATAAAATTTGTTGTTTTGATAAAGTAGAATTAAAGAGAGAGAAAAGATGATAAAGGATAGAATAGTCATTTTCTTAACATAAAGTATAGAGGTAGTAGAAAGTGAGTGTGAAGGTGAATACTTTGTCACAAAGTATGTGTATATGCAAATAATTCATTTTTATATCATCTAAGGTCAGACTTGTAAATACTCACAATAATATAATATAACGTTCTATGATATATAGTTATGCATCATGATATATGTAAATAAATCTTGTTATAATTTTGCATATCACGTTATATATTATGAGAACAATGTTACAAGAAAAAATAATGTGACGTTGTCTCGTACTCATGTCATGCATTTATATTAGGAGTGTAGTCACACCCACTTCTCTGTATTTATTTGATGCATGTGATGCTTACGAAAAAACTCAGTATCCCATCCAAATAATAAGGGTATTTTTATCCAAAAATTATAAAAGTTGTATCTTCTCTCTTGTATTGCAAAATATCAAAACTTCTAGGGTAATTGTAACTCATGGGCTCAGCTGACTGTTTTATTAAGTAAATGTCATCTATGTTTTGTTATTTATCTATCATTTTTCCTGACCATTCTAACCCTATCTCCCACCTAAAAAAATAGGTTATCCACCAAAACTTTACACACCACCACTCGCTTCCCTTCTCTCTCTCCACAATCCACTTCTCTCTCTCTCCATCAATCCCCGTTACATATTTTTTTGTAAAGAAACTTTCTCACAAATAAAGCAAAAAGAAGAACCTTCTCCACACAAATGATGATCCAACAACAAACGCATTTTCTCACTAACAAGACAGATCAAGAAGTAGAATAAGAAGAAGAAGAAGAACCTTCTCATGTTTTCATTTTCCGTTCTAAGCTCCATGATATCTTCATCCTTGACCACCTTCCTCTAACCGATTACGTCTTCAAAAAAATTTCAACGACGAAGATGGTGATTTCACCTCCATTTGTCTCATCGACGGTTTTACCGGACGTATCATAACCTAAGCCGATGTACAAACCTATTCAAGAAGGATCGCCGCCGGAATGCATCGGCTTGGGATCCGTCACGGTGACGTCACGATGGTCCTTCTCCCAGCTTTGAATAGGTTATCAATATAAATAGGTGATAATATATAACATTTGTGGTTATTTATTTGATTAGCTATGTAAATCATATGTCACTGCTATACATTATAACTTATTTGATAAATTCATCGTTATCTAGTTAAACTATTTATAGTTAATTATATGTTATGCTATAAATTATAAGTTATTTGATAAATTCATAATTATGTAGTTAAATTATTTATTATATATTGACATACATCCCTGTTTTTATTGCTTTTGTTCATAAATAGTCTTTTCAAACAGTGTAGTCATAGGCGAAAGAACAATTATTTTGATATACAATGTCAGAAAATATTAATTTTCATTTTTATAGCAATAAATATTAATTTAACAGAAATATGTAAATTACCGTAATAATAGAATATTTAACATGGTTCAAAATAAGTTATCGAATGCTATTAATCAATGATAACCAGTGTTATTGAATTATATCATCAGTGATGAATAGTGTTAGTATTATTTTAACAAATAATATGTAATTTATCCCGATAACAAATTATTTAACATGTTTATAAAATAAGTTATCGAATGCAATTTAGATTTTGTCAAAGATTTGTCAAGAGCATTAGTAGCTTCTTCTAGCATATCCTATATTAGGGACCATCTAGTAACTTTGTTCCATTGTAGAGAGAGAACAAAATGTGAACTTATTGATCTCCTTTTTATTTTTTTGCAATTTAATTGCTGGATAACACTTCATTCCACTGAGACATATCCACACAGATACATGGTTCATAACCTATCTATTTAGGACATCCGTTCCATATGAGGTAAACATACGTTTTATAGATCTATCCACTTTTTCTCGAAACATACATTCGCTTACATTAACTAAGGAAAACAATACATAAACGAAAAACTATTTCGACAATAGAGAAATGAATTACACCCATGGATAACGCATACACTCTTACGAAACCAACATGATATCCCTTGAGAGATAGTAGAAAATGCAGTGCATACACCTCTCACCGTTATACTCCTCAAGAATATCATGCTCCTCCCAACAATGTGGGAAATCATCGGCGAGGGCCAACCATGTAAATGTGGTACATCAAAGTGTTTGCAATATGCAACAGCGTTTCAAAACTATACTTCTTCTTAAGCGCCCAGTAGTCATCACTCTGAAGGGTCCCCGCACAGCTTTGCAACATGTAATAAGCCAGGTTTGCCACATCGTACACATCCTTCACACGTTCCAATGTGACCAGGGACTCGTTTATATTACAAGTCCTAAATCCCAGCAGCAGGCTCTTTACGTAAAATGCGTAAGGATTTCCAACATTTAGACACCACCCGAAGAAATCATGTTACTAGCAAAAAATATGGGTTTTAGAGCATTACCACTACCTTCTCTACATCCTTGGCAACCGTAGAACCGCTACTCGCCAACCAATAGAGCACAATTTCGGCGTTCCAGAGAACTACGTCTTGTGGCAGTTATCCTATATGGATCTGCCATCTCAACCTCGTCACTCTCATATACGTGATCTGCTTCCATTTCAAAACGATGTTACGAACATGCTAAATTCTCTATTTATTAAAAAAAAACTAGCCAGCTGTAACCTAAACCCTATAGGTCTTGATGATTTCCAACACCTGTTTGGAGGGAATACTCCCGCCCAACTTTCCTGACCTCCCCTTTTCTGATGGTCCAATTAAAGCTCCCTTAAATCACCCACCAACATTGGTTCATACATCTACCCACCGGCCATTTCATAACGCAATTCAGTGATACACAACACTCCTAACAGTGAAATACGTACATGTGGATAATTTCATTTGGACAGACTGGAACATAAGGATGATTACTCGTGGACTATATACCTATCATTTAGTCTGAAACCATGTGGATACCCATTAACATAACTTCAACACTTGCTAAACTAGATCCATCACACCGAAATTGTTTTCTTTTTTATCTAGTTATCTCTTGGAATATCACCCCCTTATATTTCTCTATTTCTGGACTATGACTTGTTGGTAGTTGAGAACAGAGCAATAATCACTGAGGTACTATATATAATATATACAGTACAAAGCCATGTGGATACCCATGAACAAAACTCCATAACTTAGTAAGCTTTGCTCGATTAGACGGATAATATCCATGCTTACAAGCATGAGTCTAAAACATCACAAAGGAAACGTAGTTTTTTCTAAATAAATAACCACTTACTCGGAAGCTAATCTCAATGACAAAGTTTCCCAGAAGTAAAAGGGCATACATGTAACACACACCCAAATTGCTTTCAACAGATGACCGTTAATTGTTTAGCTTAACCGTTTGCTTACAGCCCAAAAATTAGAATACTAACCGCAACCCCCAGTACAAAAAAAATTCGGGGTTAAAACTTCCCCATCCACGAGATGGCAAACATTTCACCTTAACCGCACCCATTACCACCCAAACAATTACTCTACTAACCGACAACCCCATTACAACAACAAAAACCCTCGCGGCTCATTCTTTCCCATCCACGAAAACACTATTCAGATTGGGTTGTCACACCTAGTCCTATTGTGCCCAGTCTCTTTGCATCTTGAACACCTTTGAACTTTTGCCGGAGCTGATGAAGATTTCTATGAAAAACAGACAAACAATATATCAATGTCAAACCATGACAACCATCAATTACACATTACGAACAAAGGATTATATTCAACCATAACTTACTGGATATTCTACAATGGATGGGATCCTCGCTTGCTTTGGCCTGCTAGATGGCCTCCTTGCATTAGGTGGCAGCAGCTCCCTATACACAATCTCCTCCGCCAAGTCTATATTCTCTGCATTCAACTCTGGGCTAATGACCCCTGCATAAGTAGCTGCCCACGTAGTTGTTTTGTAAAATTCCCCTACCAGTGTGGCATGAGGGGTATCTTGAGTATATGATGCCAACATCGGATGGCCACATGGGATTTTGTCTTTGTCATATATTTTGCACGTGCACTTTTTCAAATCCAGCAACACATCATGCTTCCCACCGAACAACCCTACCACTTCATAACTCCAGCTACTTATACTATCAACCTTGCTGCATTTAACCGTCACCATACGCTTTGTCATATGTTTATCTACCTCGGGAGTCACCAACCCCTATTCTTTCCAGCCTTCTTCCTACGAGCACGAAACCATCAGGTGAGCATAGCACGGATAAATTTCAGCAGCTCCACTATCGGTGAAGCTCTGCCTTTCCACAAAGCTTTATTCAAAGTCTCTGCAATGTTGCTAGTCATAAGGTTGTAACGTTCTCCCTAGAAATATGCGCATGACCAATGAGCAGTTCCGATTTTGTCCAAGTACTTAGCACATTCCATGTTTTTTGCCCGTTATGTTTCTGTGTAACACCCTGAACGCACCAACTGTGTAAGCATAACCAGCATTACTAACCATCTTCGCCAAACCTTTGCAATGGAATCTAGCATTAACATTCCTAGCCAAGTGAACAATACAAGCTCCATGCTTAGCTTTTGGAAAAACACTTTTCTTAGCAGTGTATATAGACTGGTTACAATCTGAAATGATCGTTAGCGTATCACTGTCAGCAGTAATCCTCTCCACCTTCTGGAAAAACCATGTCCAAGCTTCATCATTCTCGCTATCCACAATTGCGAACGCTAGGGGGAACACTCGAAAGTTAGCATCATGTCCACTAGCTGTCAACAAAACACCCTTATATTTTCCGATTAAATGTGTTCCATCCACAACCAGCACTCGTCGTAGATGCCTAATGCCCTGGATTGACGCACCAAATGCTAGAAATATATACAAGAATTTCTCTTTTCCATCATCTCCAATTATAGTTTTAATGTCTGTCACTATGCTAGGATTTCCAAGCTTCAATGCATGCAAATAATCAGCAAGTTTGTCATACAATTCCTCCTCAGTCCCAAATAAATTCCCCTGCGCCTTCTCCCACGCTCTCCAACATTTGCTGTAAGATGCATCAACCTTAGGCTCTTCCAATACTAGCTGCTGCAACTCCATTGGTACTAGTCCCTTTGAGGGATCACTGTATTTTGCTTTATAAACAGCTGTAATTCCTCTTGATGTTGCCTTCTTCTTGTAATCGCTTCTTGTTTCCATGGGGCAAGTGTGGTCAAGCGAAGCTTTCTTGATTTCATTGTAACCACTGTTTCTCAACTCACAAGCCAAAATCCTCCAATCACATCTTTCATCCACACAGTTTAGCACAAAACAATCCTTCATGGTTCTCGTTTGCCTGAAATGGAACACTTTTTTAATCGTATATATAGCTATCCCTATTTGGCAATCCTCCTTACTTGCGAATACTTTGCCCTTATATATCCCTCTCTCGTCATCATCGCAATCAAGATCCGGTATGTCTTCCCTCACATACTCTGTATCATCAAACAACGGTGCAATATCAAATTCCTCATCATCTATCTCCTCTAACTTACGTTTCTCAACATGACGTGTCGTCCTCTGCCCACTGCTCTCACCAATCGGAGCACCTTATCCCTCTCTCGAAGGTGTTGTCCATTTTCCACAAGGTGGATATCCAACATCACGCTTACCATCTTCCTCCTTTTCCAAGTGGAAATCTCCATTCAAATTCACACTTTCATCAAAACGGTCATTTGAGCTCCACATTACCTCAACTGGGTCTGTCCGACCATAATCATCTCCAATGAAATTTCCCTAGAACTCTCTATCATAACCTCTAGGAGACACCACAACATCAGTTTCTTCTGGTTCCACCCCCTCCATTTCATCCCATTCATCTCCAACTTCCTGACTACCACCACAAATCTCCCCATCTTCCTTCGTTTCTCTCACCAGCTCCTCAATATCATCTAGTAGATCCGCATCAGTTTGCGTAGTAAGAATTTCAAGTGGTTTTGAAGCATGTGTAGACGTAGCAGGAGTAGATGATGTAAGAAGAATATCTTATAAATCATCATCACTTCCACCTGAACTCTTACCAGAAGAGTAGCTCCCGCATCCTCTCTTCATGCCACACTCAGACTCTGCATTCCCGGTTGCTATATCCACACCTCTTTTTTGGTATTCCCCAAACTTAACAAACATGTTCAAGCACTTGTTGTTGCAGAACAGACTCTTGAAATAGTCCAACCCACTTGAGGTAGTGACCAGAACCGGAGGGGTTCTCGCCCCTGTCGTGAACTCCATACTGTTGGGTGGACAGAAGCTGAAACTAGCCTTTTTCACGCCGACATTAAACTCTGAGACGACAGCATCTTCAAAGTCTCCGAGAGACATCCCCTCCGACACCGACACCGCTCGCGAAACCAAATACTTGTCCACTTCAAACCTCCAAATACCATCCAAGGAACTAGACCACTCTCCACAGAGAACAATACAATGTCCATCGAAACCAACCTAATCCAAAAAATATAGCATAGTTAGTTTCCAAAACTTTCGAATCCACAACTGCAAAATAAACTTTGGATTCATGTATCCACGGAAAAACCTTTGAATCAGACATGTCGGCTGTTCGGGAGCATCCACAAACAAACACTTTTCTACTTTTCCTTATCCACACAGGTGTTCCCAATTATCAGCCGCACGATCTATGCCAACTAAATTTATAACGAACGGTTCAGATCTATTTTTAAGGAAGTTCTTTAGTTTCCATTTAGTTAAGACTCTATGTATTTTCCTTCAACATGTGAGATTATTATCGTCCTAAAAACTCGGCTACAGTGCCAAAAACATTGAAAAACGGCACCTCATCCACAAAGGGTCTTATTTTGTAAGCAAACACATACAAACGGTGCTATCAAGCAACGTTCCCATATTTAAAAGCACCTTTCACACATTTTCACTTTGCAAACTACATATAAGGATGTTTATGTGAGCAGAAGAGTCATCACAAGACTTCTAAGCAATCTTTTGCGAAAAGAAGAAAAAAGCAAAAATCCTTATGATTGCAAATACAACATATAAATTTTATTCTTTTAATTAGCACTCTTTCAAGACTTACAAAATGGGCCAAAATTTCCATACATTTATGTTCCCATGGTTTGCTTTTGGTCATATGACTTCCATACTTGCTTCCCAAGAAAGCTCAAAAGCAACTTGAACATCTCAATCTCTTTCCAGAGAGCATCATCTTTCATCCTCTTACTATTCCTCACGTTGATGGTTTTCCTCCTGGAGCCGAGACTTTCTCGGATATACCCATCTTGTTGTGGAAGTTCTTGCCTCCAGCTATAGATCTCACACGCGGTCAAGTTGAAACCGCGGTTCTTGCCTTGTGTCCTGACGTGATCTTGTTCGATATTGCTTGTTGGGTCAATGTAATATCAGCTACATCTATTGCTCATGACTTTGTTCAAGGTGGTGAACTAGGAGTTCCTCCACCTGGTTATACTTCATCAAAGTTGTTGTACCGCGAACATGACGCTCACGCCTTGTTGTCTTTCTCTGTATTCTACAAGAGATTTTCTCATCGACTCATCACAGGTCTTATGAATTGTGATTTCATTTATATTAGGACATGCAAAGACATCGAGGGTAATTTCTACGACTACATCGAGAGCCAATACCATAAAAAAGGTTCTCTTATCTGGTCCAATGCTTCCTGAGCAAGACAAGAGTAAACCCCTTGAAGCTAAATGGAATCATTGGTTGAGCAGGTTTGGTAAAGGCTCTGTAGTGTATTGTGCATTGGGAAGTCAAAACACTAATCTAGAGAAAGACCAATTCCAAGAACTATGTTTAGGAATAGAGCTAACAGGTTTACCGTTTTTTGTAGCATAAAGCCACCAAAAGGCCCAAAGACAATTCAAGAAGCGTTACCAAAAGGGTTCGAAGAGAGAGTAAAAGGTCGTGGAGTGGTTTGGGGAGAATGGGTGCAACAACTATTGAATATTGGCTCATCCATCAGTAGGCTATTTTGTGAGCCATTGTGGATTCGGGTCAAGGTGGGAATCTCTAATGAGTGATTGCCAAATTGTATTGCTTCCATTTTTAGCTGATCAAGTTCTCAACACAAGATTGATGAGTGAAGAGCTCAAGGTTTCAGTGGAAGTGGAAAGAGAAGAAACTGGATGGTTCTCGAAGGAGAGCTTGAGTGTTGCAATCACATCGGTGATGGACCAAGATAGCAAGATAGGGAGTCTAGTGAGGAGGAACCACTCCAAATTGAAGGAGGTTTTGGTTAGTGATGGGTTACTAACCGGTTACACCGATAAATTGTTGGCACTTTGGAGTATCTAGTCAACAATACTTGATGAATGAACTACTTTGCTTACAAAGAAGTACGTAGCTGCTGTTTTACATTAAGGCAACACTAGACTAGTTAGACTAATTAGTGTTGTCTTTCTTCACTTTGTTTTTGTTTTTGTTTTCAGTTCATCATTTCATCAGCAATATGTTTCTTTTTTATTTACCCCTTTCACGTTAAACTAAATAATTTACATAACCACTTTATATTACACTACATAGAAAATTGATAAAAAAAAAATTAGAACCAGTCCATTATATTATATATGAGCGAAACTGCATGCATGATGTCTTTTTTTCCACGAAGTCATTCTGCTATGAAATTCGTAAGAATATGTGACTTTGCATGCAAGAATCTGCTGAAATTAATTTGTGAAAAATGTGGTTACCCCCGGGAAAAAACACTGAACCGAATATCCGAACCGTAACCCACCCGAAAAAACCGTTTTGGTTCGGTTCGGTTTCGCACTGGGAAAACAAATACGCCTAGTTTATGTGATTCAGTGTCCCTTGACCCATTATCCTTTTCGTTGGTGTAAAAATATATGCAGTTATGCATCAATGGGGTATTGTATTACTTAGCTCAACATCCTCATGCTGCTGCTGAAGAGAACGGTGACTGGTCTAATGTGATAGTTTGCTTTGATGTTAGATCTTAGAAATTCAAGTTTGTTGATGCAAAAGAATGCTTTCCTGATGAAAAATCAAATCTTTATATACCTTTTCTTAAATTTTTTGATTAATCAGGTTTCCATAGTTGCATATCTTCAGCTTTTATTGATGCCGACTTCTACCATTGTATATAAATAATAGCTGCCTTGTCACAATCACTGAGACCAAAAGTGGTTCTTGCAGTGTACATTAGAGAGAACCAGAAGAAGAAGCAAAGATACATTGTGCCATGCATGATCTTATTACTTACCCCAGCCTTTGTTTCATACTCTTCTCGATGAAGACTGGCCGGGGCGGTTGACGAACCCTTTTCCTAGATATACTTTTCTCACTGCAAGTTCTCACATGCTAGATCAGAACTTTAAGTCACTCTTACTGCGTTTCTCAGAGAGAAGATAAAAGAGAAACAACGTATGGATACAAGCAAACTGAGCACTGAAATCTCTCTGTCTTCTCTACAGATACTTTCTTGCAAGTGCACGTACTTTGGTGTCAAAATGTGACGATGCTATCCGCGAACCCGGCAGATACAAGGGATTCAGAAGAATCTGCATCAACAAAAACAATTTTAACGATGGTGACGAAACCAACGAATCAGGACATAACCAACAGCTGCAAATTCATTAATCAAGAAAACTTTACCTTTATATAAAGCTCATGCACCTCCTGAAAGAAGCTCTTGATGCCATCCTCGTTGCGAGAATCATGAAGGAGCATGAGGCGGGTATGTGTTGATTAATTAAGGAAGATATAAACTGAAGATGAATCTGTAAAGCACAAAAGTCAACATACCAATCTGACACTATATTTAGGCGATTGAATCATCAGTTTATTTGAACTAGAACTCAAAGGGTCTAAATTAGTAATTAGTTCCAAGGTAAAAAAGGATATGGCCTGCTGTAACATAGACTGACACAACCAGATCGTTAAACCTGTCAACAGACTTCAAGAACCTGAAGAGATAGTAATAATAAGATAATGAGATGAGTCATCCTTCAAACATGATAGAAAAATTTCACAAGGGACGACCTTACTTACATGGCACTAGTAGTCCATGCTAGATCTTGGACAACATCTAAAGCTGCATGTAATATAAATTGGTGCAACTGAGCAGCATCTTCTCTCTACCACATAAATAGAGAATGGTGTAAGTGAAACTTATCAAGAAGACCACATACCAATTGCTATCATAGTTGAAACTTATATATCTACCAGCTATAGATGAGAAGACAAGAAAACAGAGCAACTGATAGAATGGTCCCTCCTCAAAGCCAAAAAGATGTGTTATGTCTAACACATGAACAAGTAACCAAAGAGATAAACTCTGTTTTGTCAATTTTTCCAAGTCCCCTTTCATTTACTAATCGATGATGTTTAAATACACAAAATAGAAGAAAGAAACTACTCACTAAATCTACAGTTAAGATACGTGACTAAGTGGAGATGTAATCCTACTAATTTAGGATAAGCAAAGACAACTTGATCTCAATTCTACCGGTTACATAGATAATGTCGGTTTACTCCGATTAACCAGTTATGTTCTCATCAGCAACAACATATGATAGAGCAGGAACCGATTAGTCATGTAATCAGCAATAGAAAAATCTACGTTTCAAGAATTATCTCGTTTGAACAAGGCCTACTCGACTCATGGGTGAAACGTTCCTCGACCAAAAATAACTTAAACAAGGGAAATATCAAACCTTATTCACATCACCAGCTAAATAAACCACAGTGATTAATCAAATTGATTCAGCTAAGTTACATTTGCACCTCTTCTGTTTCAAAGAGTTAAAACTATGAAGGAACATTGTGCTACAAATTTGAATAATTTAGCACGATTCATTGTTTCTAAAACAGAAAGAGAAAAGAGAAATGTACTTTGGCAGCAGATCCAACTTCAGCTTCATAGATGGGAATATCATTCCGACCCACAATTATAAAACAAGCAGTGTTAGCCATTCAATCAAATCCCCGAATCGAAGAAGAAACTAAATCCTGAGTCTCCTCCTGAAAATAACAACAAAAGATGTAAATTTCACGATTCATTTTGGCTCTTATAAGACAATCAAAATCGAATACTTCACTCAGATCCAACTAACAATTCACGGAACAATTACGATTGCGCTGTAATTACGACAAGGATCGAAACAGATCCTTTAGATACGTTCGGAGAAGCTTTACCTCAAAAAGATAATTGATTGATTACTGATTAGCAAAGATCCAAGGATTGAAAGAAGAGAAAGAGGTTTGATAGATTTTTACATTAACGCCCAGAAATTTTCAGAGTTTTCGAACAAGAACAACAACCGTGTTTTTTTTTGCCATTGAAATTAAATATTTGGATGGTTAAAAAGCCCATGGTTATTGGGCCTCACGTTAGTGCCGATCAAGAATTCTGCTGGTTTAGCTTAATTAGTCACACACATATATGGATATGAGACAAAAAGCCTAATCGATAGTTTGAAAGCAATAATTACAACCCGATTTTAGTTTTATGGATTTTTCAACCAAAACTAAAACGTTTTTAACGAAAGGCCAAATAGCTATTATTATTTAATTTTTCATCAAGCCCACGTAAACCGAATGGGTCCATGTTATCTCTAATTTGTGTCGTTTCCGATTGTTTATTTAATATAGATTGCCATAGAAAATATTTCTTTACAAACAAAACCTTTCTATTCTATAATCATGATTTTTCGAAAAATAAATCACCTAACAAAATATGTTACTAGGATTAAAAAAATGATCTTTTCTCTCTCGTGGAAGGCGACGGCGCAGCTACCCTAAGGTTTGCCCTGGGGATGAGATTTCGGGTTTTGGATTCGACAAATTCGGTTAGATCTTGTATCTTCTGGTGGGATGTTCATAAGGGAAGAAAGGATTTCAAGGGGATGGTGATTTGAATTTTAATAATCGATACGGGATCTTATGGGTTATGGCAAGAGTTTTTGGAGTGTTTTCGAGATCAAGTTTCCATCTTTGTGTATGTAATTGGCTGTTTCTCGGTTTATCAGTGGCTCGAGGGGACCGGTGATTGCGGAAGAGAAAGGGAGTATTCCCAAGGAATCGATGAGATTTGGGAGTATCCGATTCAGTCTTCTTTGAAAGATTTATATCCTCATGATTTGAGCCTTGTTTTCGGTGGATTATGGGGAGATTTGATGGCGATTCACGAAGGTTTTTGGAAGGTTATTATGCCGGCAATCACTCAGCATATCAATCAAGGATTCGAATGGTTAAGGAAACGCAAGAGCTACAAATTGGCTCGTCACGGTCTTTCTATCCCTTGTCTCATTCTCGCTTTTTTTTCTTGCTTTTCTCTTTGCCTCATTGCGGTGTTCCTTTGTTTCCACTTTTTTTAGTCGCCATGTCTCAAAGCCTTTTGCTTCGTTCCGGTTCTAACAAGAAGATGGTGGCCTCAGTTCCTAAGAGGAAGATTAAAGTTCCGTTTTTTGAGAATGCTGCTTTGATTGAAGGCTACTCCAAGGCGGTGATCGGTCACTGCGTGAATCCTCGTCGCCAAGATATGAAGTCCCTTCTCCTTATGCTCCCTCGTATCTGGCAGCTTGAACAACTGTCCTCCGAATTGGCTCATTTGAGGTAATCTTATATTTATGATGACAAAAAAAAATCACCTAACAAATTGCCTAACTATCAACAACGCATTAACTTCGTTTCTAAATAACATCTCTTTAATAATAACCCACCAATCGCATTTCAAGTAACAATATCTCTTTCCCAGTTACATAGCTATCACAATATTAACATTTGCATTTCAAGTACAATATCTCTTACTCGTTAGAATATTACTTAACAGATGTATTTCTCAAAAGGAAATACGTAATTTATTCTAAAGATCTTATATAATCTATGCAACTTGATCATCAAGTTTTTTCCGGGATAGGTTACAATCGAATCAATTTTCCCCCTACTATAAATATATGCCTTGTAACACTCATGTTCGGAAATGGGTAGTGCCGATCGACACCAACATTTTTCAGTTAGACCGATTTGAATTTAATTGCAAAATCAAGTGGTTTGGGATTAGTTTAACCTAGGGCTCGACTTTTTAAAGGAGAAAAGTCGACTTGTTTTGTTCAGCTGCTGTTTTTTGTTTTGCTCAAAAGCTCTAAAAGTTTGTAAGTTCTCCAGTGAGGTTTTATGAGGTTTGAGAGAGGTTTGAGGCTGTTTCTTGGTGGTTCTAGGCTAAAGGAAGTTAGATCCGTGGTGTTTGGTGTCTGAGGAGTTTGTTTTCACCCCTGTCAGCCCCTGTTCGTTGCTGTACTTTCTTGTTTAAGAGGTGAGTGCAGAACCTAGGCTTATCTATGTTGTTTGAGTCATGTTTTGGTTATTTCTATGGTTGTTGATTGATTTTCTTTGTTTGTATGCGTGTTTCTTGTGTTGTGGTGCCTCTGGACAAGTCTTGTGGAGTATATATTCGGCCATGGATTGATTGGAGGAGCAGATCCGTTGATGAGAAACGATTGGAGTGATGTTGGGGCATCGGTGTCGATCGACACCAGTGGTGTGTGTCGATCGATACCAATCTTTTGTATCAGGAGGATGATCGCGATTGTTGATCGACACAAGTTGCGAGTGTCGATCGACACTACTCGTCATGTCAGATTATGTGGTCATTTGTATTGTCATTTTATGATTGTTGGTTATTGCTTGGATGTGAATTATGCTGCTTGTGTATTATAGCAATTTGTGGGGATGAATGCCTCACTAAGTATTTATGAAATACTTATGCATCTCTTTTTGTGATGCATGTAAAGGAAATGTGTGATCGTGGAATCATGGGGAGGAGAGAATAATGATATGGGGACTCGCTGGTTGTGTCGTGATTTTATGTTATTGTATTGTTAGGTTGTTTGTTAGGTTGTTAGTCTGGAATCTAGAAACATGTTAGGATGCTTTTCTATTTCTGGATAATGACTGGTTTGAATATTGTTGGAATGCTGGTTTAATATTGCAATTGAATTACTTGGATTGTTTGGTTAAGTCTTTTGCTGGTTATTGTTTATGATTGGTTAAATTGGAATTGTTGGTTAACTAGTTAACATTGGAATTGGATGGTTTAAATTGATTTAGTCCGGTTTCGCTAGTTGAGATGGTTTTAATTGGGTTAATCCGGTTTGCATGATAAAAAAAAAACTAGGCCGGGTCTTTTCAATTTGGTATCAGAGCCCCTAGGTTCTAGGACTGGGTAAAACGGGTGGTTTTGATCTGATGTGTGAGTTTCGTTGATGAGATATGATGATGTGATTTTATGTGTTTAATCAATTATGTGGGCATGGGGACCTAGATCATTCTTTCGAGCCTTCAATAAGATTCCATGGTAAGTTATGTGTTTTGTGGATTAATGTTCAACTGTACTTAGCCTTCTGTTGTTAGTGCAAATTGTTAGAGGTGGAGCTGCTGGTCGTGGTCGTTGCCGTGGGCTTGGTCGCGGTAGGGGGCGTGGTGTTGCCTCGGGTAGCAACATGAGTGTGGACGAGCATGTCAGCGATTCTCAGTCGTATTAGGAAGGATCTTTGGGCGATGCCAGTGTGAGTGCCTTTAGAGCCGGCTTGCCTGGAGACAGTACTGGTGTGGCTGGAACCCGGTTGGGAGTGTTCCAACAGGTGAGGCCCAAGGTCAGAATGATCGTATTGCGGATCTGCTGACGCAACTTTTGGAACGGTGGACCGCCAGGGGTGGCGGGAGTGTAACATGTTGGGCCAGGTGGGCTTGGCGTGCAGCCAGGTGATCCCGGTGTGCAGCCCAGTGTCAGGGTTGTGCAGCCAGAGGGAATAGGTTTGGTTGTTCAGCAGCCGTACTATCTGTGGATGATGGAGCAGCTGTAGCGGTTCGGAATATCCATGTTCTTTGGGGGTTCCGATCCGGTTGTAGTGGATGAGTGGCAGGTAAGATTGGAGCGGTACTTCCAGTCGATGAGGTACCCAGAGGCGTACCGGATGGACCTAAGGGCTCACTACTTGGCTCGTGATGCACACTTGTTGTGGAAGAGTGTGCTGGCCAAGAGGGAGCAGGGATTGATGATGTTGGAGGATTTCTTGTCAGAGTTTAATGTCAAGTATGTCCTAGCAGAGGCATTGGACCACATGGAGTTATACGACTCAGAGTTTAGCAGACTGTTGGTGTACTCGGGTCATGTGAGAGATCCGGAGCATATGTAGGTGTGTCGGTTCATAAAAGGTAATAACCACGACATGAGTGAGATCCGGAGCAGATGCAGGTGCGTCGGTTCATGAAGGGTCTCAACCATGACATGAAAGTGCGATGCAACGTACAAACCTACCGGTCGCGTGTGGAGTTGGTCGAGGTGGCAGTGGGGTATTGAGGACGAGCTGAGGTTCCTAATCCGTCGGTGCAGCCAAAGAAGTTCCACTCGTAGTCGGTTCTGAGCAGGGGCGGCAAGCATGCTCAGGGATAGAAAAGGAAGTGGGATGATGGTTCCATGACATGTCAGGGTTGTCGGAGATGCTTTAGATGCAGAAGCATGGATCACGAGCTAACGATCTGTCGGAAGAAGAACGAGCAGCCGGGGGTGTAGCAGTGGGTGCAGCCGGCAGTGTAACTGGAAATGTAACCGTGGGTTCAGTCTATGGCTTAGCTGGGAGCACCGCCAATTGCATAGATCGAAGGACCGCGGTTCTACTCGACTATGGAGACGGGAGAGCCATGCAACGTTTGACAGATCACAGGTTTAATTCTAAGACTCAGTTTGTTTACTTTCTATCGGTTTAGAATTGTTTTAAGTGATTGTGGGGTTGGGGGTTCTTAGTGTAAGGGTTTGTGTAAGGGCCCTGTTGGTGGACGGGTTCTCGTCCCACGTGTTGTTTGACTCTGGAGCTACGAATAGCTTCATTACCCCAGAGTGCACGGTGGGTGGTAATATGCAAGGAGATCCGGGTGGTTATTTTGGAGCCGTTAGAGTCGCAGGAGGCGCTTTGTTAGCGGTTCAGATTGCGAGAGAGTCAATGCCGGCGAATCTGTATATTAGTCTGGTGGAGCTATATGATGTGATTCTTGGCATGAATTGGTTGGCTCGGCATAAATATTATCTGGATTGTCACCGCGGGAGAGTCTAGTTCAAGCGGTCTGGACCGAAGTTGTATTACAAGGGTGTGAGACCGATTTCGGGGATTCTAGAAATATCGGCGATGTAGGTGGAGAAGCAGATTAAAAAGGGGCGGGAAGCCTACTTGGCGATGATAGTGATGCCAGAGATTGTCGGAGAGGTATCGGTGAGTAAGATCCGGGTGGTTCAGGAGTTCGAGGACGTGTTTCAGTCGTTGAAGGGGTTACCACTATCTCGGCCTGATCCCTTCATGATTGAGTTAGAACCCGGGACAACGCCGTTGTCTAAGGCTCCGTACCGGATGGCTCTAGCAGAGATGGCTGAGCTGAAGAAGCAGTTGGAGGATTTAGTAAGGGTTTCATCTGTCCTAGTGTTTCACCGTGGGGAGCACCAGTGCTGTTTGTGAAGAAGAAGGATGGGAGTTTTTGACTTTGCATCAATTACCGGGGATTTAACCAAGTCACAGTGAAGAACAAGTGTCCTCTACAGCAGATTAATGAGCTGTTGGAGCAGTTGAGGAGAGTTACGTAGTTTTCTAAAAATGATTTGGCGTCGGGGTACCATCAGATTCCTATTGACGAGGCGAATATCCGTAAGATGGTGTTCAAGGCGAGATATGGGCATAATGAGTTCATGGTGATGATTTTCGGATTGACAAATGCACCTGCGGCGTACATGAAGCTGATGAACAGTGTTTTCCAGTCGTTTCTGGATGAGTTCATTATCATCTTCATCGACGTTAACCTGGTGTATTCTAAAAGTCTAGAGGAGCACGAGGTGCACTGGAGGGCGGTTTTGGAGAAGTTGCAGGAGCAGAAGTTGTATGCTAAGCTGAGCAAGTGTTGTTTCTAGCAGAGAGAGAGATGTGTTTTCTAGTTCATAATGTGTCTGTAGAGGGAATTTTTGTGGTACCAGAGTAGATTGAGGCTATTAGAGATTGGCCTAGACCGCAGAATGCCATGAAAATCCGGAGTTTTCTGGGATTGGCGGGGTACTACAGACGGTTCATGAAGGGTTTTGCAAGCACAGCTCAACCGATAACCAAGTTGACGGGGAAGGATATTCCTTTTGTGTGGACTCCTGAGTGTGAGCAGGGTTTTGCTAAGCTTAAGAAGATGTTGACGAGTACGCCGATCTTGGCTTTACCATAACATGGGAAGCCGTATATGTTGTACACAGCTGCTTCGGGAGTTGTTTTGGGTTGTGTGTTGATGCAGTAGGGTAAGGTGACTGCATATGCTTTGCGATAGTTGCGGAAGAATGAGGGCAACTACCCTACTTAAGCCTTGGAGATGGCGGTGGTAGTCTTCGCTCTAAAGATTAGGAGATCCTATCTGTATGGGGCGAAAGTTCAGGTGTTTAGAGATCATAAGAGCCTGAAGTACATATTCACGCAGCCTGAGTTGAATTTAAGACAGAGGCGGTGGATGGAGTTGGTTGCAGACTATGACCTGGAGATAGCTTACCATCCCGGTAAGGTTAATTTGGTTGTAGATGCCTTGAGTAGGAAGCAAGTGGTTTCAGCTAGAGGACAGGATATGAAGACCTTGTTGGGAGAGATTAGCACTCTGCGTTTGTGTGCTACTTCTCAAGAGTCACTAGGTTAGAGGCAGCTAGCCGAGCAGATCTTCTGACCATAGTTAGGGCGGCTCAGGAAAATGATGCAAGGCTGGTTAATGCTTATAAGGATACATATTCATAGTATAAGGTTGCAGCCAGCGGGACTATTCTTGTGAGATTCTAAGTGACGCTCATGCGAGCATGTTCTCTGTTCATCCAGGATCGACCAAGATGTACAGAGACCTGGAGAGGTACTACCATTGGGTTGGGATGAAAAAAGACGTGGTTAAGTGGGTGTCTGAGTGTGATGTGTGTCAGCTAGTGAAGGCTGAGCATCAGGTGTCAAGTGGTCTACTGCAAAGTCTTCCTATTCCAGAGTGGAAGTGCGACATAATTACGATGGATTTCATAGTAATTACATATATATAAAGATAATTTGTGTCTATATATATAAAACTTACATATATATATTTGATAACTTTCAAATTGTAGTGACTTTTTGATAAAATTTACAAGAGTGGTATTTTAAAAATGATATTGGAAAAGGGGTATTTTAAAAATTCTCCCAATAATTTTTCAATCTTGTACAAGTGGATTCCACGTTAGCATGACTTCTGCACATGTGGATTCCACATCCGCATGACTACTGCACACGTGATGCCACATCAAAATTAATTAAACATTTATCACGTTTTTGTTTGTTTAGGCAAAAAACGAAACTTTAGGTTTGAACTTTAAATTATTTAAAAGTGCATGTATGTTTTAACACATGCGATAGTTCAATGTATGAATTCATCTCAGTGTAATTTTGCAAGTATGGAAAAGCCTATTTTCCGTGTGTATCATGTTCTGACCCGTTGCAAAAATATTACGATCTGTTTCTAATATTTTATTTTATATATTTTATTTTTGAATATTTTAAAGGTTTCAATATTAAAATATTCTAAACTTTTAAGACATTTAACAATTATAATATATTGGAACTTTTTAAAAATTTATATGCTCAAACAAATAACTTTATTAATCCGAACAAAAAGTTTAAAATTGAAAGCCCGATAAGTTAAACTTCATGCTCATTCATAGTTAGAAGCATACTGGTCATGTTTATAATGATTTAAAACCATTGACAAAATATTTAACCGATGTGGTATGTCTTACACTTTTTTCTATCAATAAAGTATAATATAAAATTTCATGAAAATATTTAACCAATCCTCTTAGATTTAACCAAAATATATAACCAACCCGATTTAGATATCCAAACTTTATTTTAATAAAATTTTAAGTTTATAATAATACTTTCTTTGTCAATTCAGTAATATATATCCGTTTTGAAAATTTCAAATCACAACA